CTGCTTGATTGATATTTATGATATGGGTAGTACAAGAGTGGATCTACCACGAGATCAAGGAGGCTAAATCCTAGAAGCTAGCCTATGGTATGATTGTTGTTCGTCCTATGGACTAAAACCCTCCGGTTTATATAGACACCGGAGAGGGCTAGGGTTACACAGAGTCGGTTACAATGGTAGGAGATCTACATATCCGTATCGCCAAGCTTGCCTTCCATGCCAAGGAAAGTCCCATCCGGACACGGGACGAAGTCTTCAATCTTGTATCTTCATAGTCTTGGAGTCCGGCCAATGATGATAGTTCGGCTATCCGGACACCCCCTAGTCCAGGACTCCCTCAATTACCGAGATGGCTTAGAGATACCTCTCCAATACACGGAGTGACAAATCCTAATCTCGATCTATGCCAACCCAACAAACACCTCCGGAGACACCTGTAGAGCATCTTTATAATCAGCCTACGTTGTGATGTTTGATAGCACACAAGGTGTTCCTCCGGTATTCGGGAGTTGCATAATCTCATAGTCTGAGGAACATGTATAAGTCAGGAAAGAAAGCAGTAGCAATGAAACTGTAACGATCAAAATGCTAATCTAACGAATGGGTCTTGTCCATCACATCATTCTCCTAATGATGTGATCATGTTCATCAAATGACAACACATATCTATGGTTAGGAAACATAACCATCTTTGATTAATGAGCTAGTCAAGTAGAGGCATACTAGGGACACTATGTTTTGTCTATGTATTCACACATGTACTAAGTTTCCGGTTAATACAACTCTAGCATGAATAATAAACATTTATCATGATATAAGGAAATATAAATAACAACTTTATTGTTGCCTCTAGGGCATATTTCCTTCATATGCAAGCTTGGACACCAATTCGAATGACTCTGAGTCTCAATCTAGATACTTATTGAAAGTGGGAGCAATTAGCTAGAGTAGCTCCATGTAGAGCATTGTAGACATAAAAATTTGCAAAAATACATACGGATCTGAATGTGGCAGACCCGTTGACTAAATCTCTCTCACAAGAAAAACATGATCACACCTTAGTACTCTTTGGGTATTAACCACATGGCAATGTGAACTAGATTATTGACTCTAGTAAACTCTTTGGGTATTAGTCACATGGCGATGGGTGTTAATCACATGGCGATGTGAACTAGATAATTGACTCTAGTGCAAGTGGGAGACTCATGGAAATATGCCCTAGAGGCAATAATAAAGTTGTTATTATTATATTTCCTTATTCATGATAAAGTTTTATTATTCATGCTAGAATTGTATTGACCGAAAACTTAAATGTATGTGTGAATATATAAACAAATACCGTGTCCCTAGTAAGCCTCTACTAGACTAGCTCGTTCATCAAAGATGGTTAAGGTTTCCTAACCATAGACATGAATTGTCACTTGATAACGGGATCACATCATTAGGAGAAAGTTGTGATGGACAAGACCCAACCGTTAGCATAGCATATGATCGTTGAGTTTATTGCTATTGCTTTCTTAATGTCAAATACATGTTTCTTCCACCATGAGATCATGCAACCCCCGGATACCGGAGGAATACCTTGTGTGCTATCAAACGTCACAACGTAATTGGGTGATCATAAAGATGCTCTATAGGTATCTCCGAAGGTATCTGTTGAGTTGGCATGGATCAAGATTGGGATTTGTCACTCCGTGTATCAGAGAGGTATCTCTGGGCCTCTCGGTAATACACATCACAAGAAGCTTGCAAGCAAAGTGACTAAGGATTTAGTTACGAGATGATGTATTACGGAACGAGTAAAGAGACTTGCCAGTAATGAGATTGAACTAGGTATGAAGATACCGACGATCGAATCTCAGGCAAGTAACATACCGACAGACAAAGGGAATTACGTATGTTGTCATAAAGGTTCGACCGATAAAGATCTTCGTAGAATATGTAGGAACCAATATGGACATCCAAGTCCCGCTATTGGTTATTGACCGAAGAAGCATCTCGGTCATGTCTACATCATTCTCGAACCCAAGGGTCCGCACGCTTAACGTTCGTTGATGATATAGTACTATATGAGTTATGTGAGTTGGTGACCGAATGTTGTTCGGAGTCCCAGATGAGATCACAGACATGACGAGGAGCACCGGAATGGTTCAGAGGTAAAGATGGTTAATTCTATTTTGTCACCAGAAAGGTTTCGGGATGTACCGGGTATTCATCGGAGTGACGAAAGGGGTTCCGGGAGGCCAACGATAAGTGGTGGGACTTATGGGCCAAAGGGGGGAAGCACACTAGCCAACATGGGGGCTAGCACGCCCCTCCACCCCCTGCCCACGCACCAAGGAGGAAGGGAAGGAAGGGGGAGGCGCTCTAAGGCAGTCAGCCCCCCTTTCCTTCCCCCCATGTTCAAATATGGAAGGGGGGCTAGGCAGCTGCGGGCCACTTTGGGGGCACCCTAGGGCTGCCTCCTCTCCCCCCTCCACCTATATATGAGAGGACGGAGAGGGGCATCACACACCATGATTCCCTAGCCGTGTGCAGCGCCCCTCCTCCCTCTAGTCCATCCTCGGTCATATTTTCGTAGTACTCGGTGAAGCCCTGCAGAGATAGTTGCATCACCACCGTCACCACGCCGTCGTGCTGCTGGAACTCATCTACTATTTTGCCCGTCTTGCTGGATCAAGAAGGCGAGGACGTCATTGAGCTGAACGTGTGCTGAACACAGAGGTGCCATATGTTCGATACTCGATCGATTGGATCACGAAGGTGTTCGACTACATCAACCGCGTTGATAAACACTTCCGCTTTACGATGTACGAGGGTACATAGACATACTCTCCCCTCTCTTAGCTATGCATCTCCATGGATAGATCTTGCATGTGTGTAGAATTTTTTTTGTTTTTCATGCAACGTTCCCCAATAAGAAGAGGCTCCCTCAACTTTCTGAAGCCATAACTTTGATTTTTGAGGGATTTTCAAGAGCTCTATGATAGGATTCCACTGAAGCATAGATCTACTCCTCTCTTTTTGAACCAATCAGACTCATGATTTGGGCAAGTTCCAAGATTTCCCCTTTGTTGTTATTAAAATTGGAGGTTGGAGATTCCTAGATGGTAAGAGTTCTTGGTGAGGAATCAACTTGTGATTAACCCAAATTTTGTGAAACTTTGGATGCCACCTTAAGGTCTACCGCCAATGGTTGGGAGTCACATTTGTGGCGATATATCAAGGAGAAGGCAACAAGCTTTTGTGGCGTTGGAGTTTCTTTGTGGCATTTCCACCTCTCCAACGATGATTAGCTCCCCTCCAAGGAGTGAAAATTGTAATACATTTTTTATCTCCATGTTCTTCGGTTGTTCATAACCCTAGCTCATTTACATATGTTTTACATTGGTCACATGACCTTTCAAGAATCACTATATCTCACCTTGGCATTGTTAGGCACACACTTTATATTCTGCAAGGCCTAAACTTGCTAATAAGCGAAGGAAAAATTTATAGTTGTCCCTATTCATCCCTATATAGTTAGGTCCATCTCTATCCTTTGAACCACTCTACCTATAGGAAAGGCACAATGCAAATGTTTTGTATTTGGTGTGCATGTAGTGCCGCGGCAATGCAATTGACATGAATTTGTTCAAAGCATGCATGACTATTTCAGAGCTAACTCAGAATTATTTTGACAAACTTAACACATATATAAGAGAGAAATGCAACACACACATTAAAGTTATGTATTTTTGTTTAGCTTACGCTTTCCATATGCAGTCCTCTTCCATACCATTCATTGCTGACTATAGATATGTTCTTTTCTAAAATTTGAATGGCATATTATGATAAGAAAAACCATGTTCATAATTGCAACATAAACTTGCAAAACAATTAAAGAGGTTAATTGCGCTTATTGAATTTTAGATGAGGCAATATACCTAAATATTTTTAAAAACTAAAAAATATTATTCGTCCTTCCTCCTCCCACGAGCGACTGCCACGTGAGGGTTTCCCCACCTCCAACTGATGCCATTGTCGATCTGCCTCGTCCCCTGTGGCCTCAGGGCCATGGAGGCGCGGTGGATCATGGTCCTTGTCGGTGAGAGGCTTCCTGCTCTATTTTCAAGTGTTGTTCTTAGTTGGTTTAGGGTTTGTGTCCTGCTTAGGCAGACAAGGTCGCAATGTCTTCTTGGAGATGGAATAAGGTTCTCCCTTCCTAGCCTCCATCCTGGCGGTGCGTCTAGCGTCCCCGGAAGTGTGTGGAGTTGTGTCTCTAGCGGATCTCGTGGTATTCGGTCTGTGTTTGTCTTCGGTGGATATTCTTGGATCCGGTCTTCATTCATCTACTTTCGCTCGTTTATTAGTCGGATCCGTTCGATCTACACTTCTCTTTGTCACCGACGGTTGTTGTTCTGGTGTGCTGGTTCTTTAGGGCCTTAACACAATGACTTCCTGACTGTCCAATACGACAAGGTTTGCTCGGCTCCCATGAGGGAGGGGAGATGATGGCGGCGCGCCTTCAACTCGTTCCAGTGCTTGTAGTCGTCGCTAGGTGGTATATGGACATGGATGTAATTTATATCACTTCACGTGTTCTTTAACTGTCATGAAGTTTGATGGATAGATCGAACCCCCCCCCCCCCAAAGGATATGTAAACATTTCAGTCTACAAAATATGAATATACATGCATAAAACATCAAACTTAGTTTACTAATATGTTCAACACATTAAAGGTGATGCCTCGCAAATATGTCGTATAGTGTCTCGAAAGGCAAGTCAGGCTCCAATCAAGCTTATGCTACTAGCATATGCATATCTAACAATTTCCCTAATCTTGGTTTGTTAATATACAAAGTAAGTATATAAATAAAGAAAATAATATACAAAATTTTCCCCGCAAAAAAACACACTTGATTATGTTATGAAAGCATATAATATACACATTATCATAAAAAATACACAAATGTTATTTTCTTCTTGAATAACGCAATAACCGGCATCAAAGATTCCATCAATATTTTCTACCTTTCCCGTTTGTCTTGTATTGGTGCCAAATATCCATTATTGCTATCCCTTGGTGACATCCGACCACGATCCTACATAAATCAATCAATTAGTATGTCCTTCAGTTATCGATTGGTTCATATGTACATATTCTACGACTCGCCTTAAGAGTCATCCACGCTAGAATGGGCATAACCCAAACTATAAACACAATGACTCCTACCCCATAGCTTTCTCGGTCTACGTGAGGGCATGGAGCTGTGGCCATCGTCACCATGACTAGC